CAAAAAGCTCGTCACGCCCTGAAAGACCTTCCTGGTTAGAATCACAGGCGCGTACCTGGCGCATCTTGGGGCGAGATCAGTCGCGCCACACGCTTCGAATCTGATTAACCACGAGGGTAAAGACTTTTATACTAATCCCGTTCGATTGGAACTGAAGTAAAATGTAGGAATGTGCAGTGGTAAAGAAGGGTCGTTTTCTTGAGGCCCAGAAGTTTTTACAAAAGCGCAATTTTCACACGGAACTCCTAAAGCTCATGTAGAACTTGTCGGACTTTACATCTCATAGTTTTCAGAAATGCATCTCTTTTTCTACGAAGGAACTTATGATTGGTGCGAGCTCAAAAACTGTAAAAAAAACTGCTTCCTACCCTAGATGTGGATACCGAACTGGCGAGGTTTTCAAAAAAATGAACACTGAACTCTTTCAAATGGTTATTTGAAAAAGCCCAGTAGTTTGCTTAACGCTAGCGCATTTTCATAGAAACCATAAAGAAGAAACTTATGATAACCCGTAGCTCAAAACTTTTTTTTCTCAAGAAATTCAGCACTTTGATCTTTAAAAAGTGTAAGCGGCTGAATTTTCTTAAAAATGGACTTTGAACACTTCGAATGCTCATTACTCTGGACTTATCTTCTCGCTGGTCGATTTTCACAGAAAAAAAGAAGTTATGATCACTAGAAGCTGTAAACGCGAGAATTGTGAGCGGGCGGTTTTTAGAGTGCAAAACAGAAACTTCGTGGTTCTTTCTAGATGGATTATAACTTGTGTTTTACTAGTATTATTGAAGCTGCGGAGAAGGTGACATATGAAAGAAGCCATGACGTTGAAAAAAAAAAGAGATTGCGCTGTAAGTTGCAAAGTCATGCTGACATTTCCATTTTCCACTTCATACCGAGAATTTTTTTCCTGACTTTCGAGGTAATTTTTTTCCCAAACCAGGCCAACTTTTTCAAGCAATTCCAAACCTTCCTGAACTTTGAAAACTGTCGAATTTGAAGAAAATTATTTCCGTTGGGAAAGCGCTTCTCCTCTCTGTCTGAAAGAAAGCTGATGCGATCCCACGCGAGATTGCCTTATGTTTCATGCGAGTACTGGGGCGTATAATCTAGGTGTAGCTGCAACAAGAAGGGTCGAATCGAGCAAGGGGAGGGGGAAATTTTCAAAATCGCTCGAATGCGACGATTGACCCTGCTGTTTACTGTCTCGGCGCTGCGACACAAATTTTCGACTGCTGTCCCAGCCTTTTTGTCGCAAACTGTGAATCCGGCAGTTGTGACCTTGTTATGTATTTCGAAAATCCATGGATGTCTTGAAACGCTCATCCCAAACGAGATGTTGACCTGAGCAATGATTATTTCTTGCTAATGCGTGACAATTTTCCGACTTTCATGGCGTAGAGGCCCGACAAGTATTTTTCACGTATGTTAATGAAATTTATACCCTGTCATGGCTAATGATGTGCGCACAGTATACGTCAGATTTATTTTTTTTCGTTTTTTTCAGACATATAACCGATTGCATCACGCTCACAGTGAGCTGCAGGTTTATGAGGAAAAATGTACCGGATTGAAGCAACGACTTGACCTACTCAGGCAAATAAAGGTGAATTTTACTTCAGTTTTCATCATACCATCCCGCCACAGGTCGCTCCGCCCACTATATCCCACTTTTAGTACAACTACTCCCAGGGTAATCCTACCCTATCGGGACCATGCCCAAGTTGTTTTCTTGGGTCTACGTAACGTGAGTTCAGTGGTTACAAACAAACAAAGAGACAGACAGACAGACAGATAGACACACCAAATTGCTGCTCTATATATAGAGGGGATTATGTTAGAAGATTGTATCTGTCGAAGCTCTGTTTTAGGAAGCTCCCATAATGTACGCTACCGCGGTCACAGAGAATGTTCGACGGAAGGTTTTTCAAAAAGAGTTCAATTCCTGGTATTCTATACATGTAGATAAGTGTACTGCACTGTACGATGAAGAATCAAAACTGAGAGCTCAGTTCTCTGCGAAAATGGAGAAGCATTTTTTACGTGTACTTTTCCATGGTGAGTTTTCAACGTTGAGGAACTCAGTGAAAGCTTGTGCTAGGAGCATCACACAATACACATTACTTCAGGTATGTTTGACACAATCCCCCTCTTCTTTGTTAAAAGTCTGTCCAAGTTCGATACAACTCTTGGTCCGATCGATGTCGAATATCTGAGGGAACTTCGCAAAGTTTGTTCCCGTTGATATCAATTTTTATTATTGAAGGTGAACCGATTATTACATAGTTCATGAAAATGTATATTTTATGCAGAATATCGAAGAACTGAAGCAATACCTGAATGTCTCAGTTCCACAAGTGTTTCTTCGCCTTGAAGTCAGGTCTGATATTCTTTTCGTAGTCTAGAGTACTTTTCGTGCACCATTTCGGCCTTAAACATATTTATCAGCTCTTCGCAGAGACGCTAGCGGTAGCGGTCGCCCTCTCGTGCTCAACATATTGCGCATTTTTTAGATCCATTTGTAGCAAGCTCCTTAATTAAAGGAAGCGATTACGATAAAGAAAGCACACTGGGAAAGTATATGCATTACACGAAGCAGTTAACTTGGCTGCCAAGGAAGCGAGGTGTGGCGCTTCCACGACGAAAGTGCGCTGGTTGCTGAGCAGACCAGAGTCAACCCTGCGTTGCGCAGTTTCGCCCGATTAGACACGTTCTCTCGCGCGAACATTCACACTCGCATGCTCGAGCCGTCTGTGTCTCCGCCCATACAGCGTGCGTT